AATTGCAACTTTGAAGACTCTTACTGTAACAAGCTGAAGTGGAAGCAAGTCATCCTCAATTCTCAGAAAGTGCCTGAGGAAGTAGGAAATTCAGTCACTCCCAGCCTTCAAGGTACTCATTCTCCCAATTTTGTCAAATCATAAATTCAAATGAACACTGAAAGATATTTTAAGAAAACATCCAAACCAACCAGCAACCATCCATAAGATACAGGAGCAGAATTCAGCTATTCAGCCCATTGAGTCTGATCTGCCATTTGATTGTTGCTGATGTTTCCCACCCCCATTCTCCTGCCATCTCCCCATAATCCTTGATCCCCTTACAAATCACAAACCTACCTATTGCTGTCTTAAATACAATTAATGACTTGGGTTCCACAGTAATCTGAGGCAACGAGTTTCACAGATTACTACCCTCTGGCTAACGAAATTCCTCCTCATCTCAGTTCTAAAGCTCGTCTCTTCACTCTAAGGCTGTGCTCTTGGGTCGTAGGGCTACTAGAGGGAACATCTTCATGTCCTCTCTGGCGAATTTTCCTCTAGGCCTTAACCGGGCAAATCCTCAAGACTCTTTAGAGGTTAGTAAGCATTCCTTTCAACAACAGACATTCCTCTGCAATCTGTCTGGTAATTCGCAGAGAACTCTCAGCTTCTTCTCTTTGCTGACCACACTCATGCACTTTCTGAGAATTGAGGATGACTTGCTTCTACTCGAGCTTGCTACAGTAAGAGTCTTCAAAGTTGCAATATTGCTGTGCAATTCCTTTAAATTGATCATTGAAAATTCAGATTTCTTGTTTAAGATTATCAGTTTCTTAGGGGATAATGACACAATGGACTTTTTAATATCTACAGTTGCACATGCAAGATAAATGCAACACACATGAAGGGGCACTTAATTTATCCAGCTGAATGTATAGGCCAGCCAAGCCCTGATAAACAGCCTGTAAATAACTAATTAAACCCAAAATAATCCAAGAAGGATTTTTTCTACATTGATTAGTCAACTCCAAAAAATAGTTATTCAGGGCTTTAGAAATTCATATCATACCATATCAGTAAATTGAATTGAAACTTCTATTTCCCTCCCTCTCTTTTCTGTCCAAAAACTTCGAGTTTGAAGATCTGTCCACAGTTAGTTAAGCTACTTTTACCTAACTTGTCAGTTACGGATATCTTGCACTTTGCTTCTGTCAAATCTCACTGAGACTCTGTCCACATAATAACCTACTATCATTATTACAACCTAGCATGGTGTCAAAACATCTGAACGAGAACAAGCCAGTTCGGCGAGCAAGTCAACAACCTCACCCACAACCCGCACTCCAGCTATTTGCCAGAAGTTTAAATATAATAACCAAGCCACTCATCTTTGTTGTCATGCAGAATTCAAAGCAGATTACACTATTTAATCTAGAATTAAAAAGATAGTCTCAACATAATCATCTCATAAAATCTCACATCCACAACAATGAGACAAATATGCATTCCTATTTGAGCAGTTTATATTCTCCTGAATCATGAGCATGAAATGGATTATTTTATGTCTCTGCCTGCTCAGTCAGGCCCTGAGAGGAAGCGCTTTGATTCATATTCTTCCCTCGCCAGCGATAGTGCAGTAAAATTGTACTGAGGTAGAAGATGAGCCATTATCTCATTGAATGGCAAAGTGGCCTCCAAGGGCTGAATGGCCTCCTTATGTTCTTAGTTCTTACATACTCAGTACTATCCAGATAGGGAAAAAGATAAAACAAAGGTAAAATAAAAGCTTAACTCAACTACATTGACTGAATTTCACCCTAGTGGTTCCATTAACATAAAGTCTTACAAACTGCTATTTAAACTGCAGTTCAGAAAGAAAGGGCACAAAGTTGACATTATAAATTCAAAAGGATGTAGCCATTTTTAGTAACAAATCAAGCAATGCCAGTTTGCCTAATAGGTAAGCATATGTTAAATGGTTTTAAACAACTAGACTGATACAGTACTAAATTTCATGTTTGCAACATTTCAGTTGACAGAATCTATCTCGTCTGCATTTCTTTATTTGGGCAACCATTTTTCACAGCTTTTATATTCAAAATATTATATTATGTGGTAATAATTACTCTTTCCCAAGCATCAAATTGTTACCTTACTAAACTCTCTGAAACTGTTGTCAAATAATATATGACCAAAAATTTGATCTTCATAGTTTGACTTCCCACTGTATGTATGTCCTCCTCACTGCACCCTCCACAAGTTATAATGCAATCAGAATAGAACACTCCACATCTTCACCCACAGAATTAGCACTTCCACTATCCACTATCTCTTAACCATGCTAAGTTCCACTAGTTTGCCTACAACTGTAGATTGATTGACATACTTAATTTCTTACTTCAATTCTGTTAATTTCACTGTCTCACTCTACTTGGCAGTTTTATTCAGCTTACAGTTTATACAGCTTTATTCAGTTATATTTGTCTTACACATTCCCGATGATAAATCTACTTTCCTGTCATTACTTCACTTCCACAATTGATGAAAGACAGTTAAATGAGGAGACTCTTTTCTCCTGGAGCACGTACTAAACCCTCTGAATGTAATATCTTCGTAAGCTTTCGCAAAATCATTTCACCTGTATTAGGCTTTACCCTGCTTTCTCAGGTGATACTTTTTATCTTTTAAGTCTGCATCTACTCTGTTTTCTACAGTGTAAAATCATTTGATTGACTTTCATCTTTAAATTACGTCTATTTGTACTTAATTTTATTCTTTGTATCTATATTTTATCTAATTTTATCTAATAACAGTGTCATGTTTTTACTCAGTAACTTACAACAATATTCATTTCTTGGATGTGGGTATTGCTAGATGAACCAGCTGTCCCTAGTTGCCCGTTAGAAGGTGGTGATGAGCTACTTCTTGAACCACTTCAGTCTAAATAAGGACTAGACATCTGTGCAGGCTTGGCCTGTTCCTGTGCATTGTTCCTGTGTATTGTATTGTCAACTGTACAGTAAATTCAACTTTGATCTGGTTTGAAAATAGATCTCTGCTACGAGTCATTTTTAAATTTGAATACTACAAAAAGCAAAGAAAAGAGGCTAAATTAGCTATTTCAATCATAGTTCACTATCTATGCTACAGACATGCCTTGTGGCTGTGACAGGCATAAACGCATTCAGAGCATTTCCAGCTGCCACAACGTTCTTGCGCCAACTCCATGCTATTTTATGCAGGATATGAAGACATCTGCTTCACATTGCCATCCATGAAAGATTATTCTTCCTGGCCTAATGAGGATTCAGCTATACATATGGCTGTCTGCACATCATCCTTTCCCCTCACTTGACTCAATAAATCTTTTTGGGTAGAAAAGATTAAGATATATGATAGTCTTGTAGGATGATGCTATGGAAGCTATTTCAATTAAGTTTACAGCAACCCTACAGGTGATGTCTATTGTATGATAGAGTTGCACAAACCACTCACTTGCAATCAATATTGACAATCCAATGTTGTAAGGAACAATGAAAGTGATACAGGCACCCAATTTTTGTAGAGCAAGGGTGCCAGTCTCTAGCTCCAAAATTCTTTAAACATAATCGTGTTAGTCCAGTTTGAATTTGATGATGTTGAAGCCATGGATGGGGGTGTACATAGTACTTCCAAGGTGATATTGTGCCCTAAATCAGAACACCTAAATAGTGTCAACCCCTAAATAAAAAAAACCGAAGAACTGTGAATGTTGTAAATCAGAAACAAAAACAGAAATTGCTGGAAAATCTCAGCGGGTCTAGCAGCATCTGTGGTGAGAAATCAGACTCAGAGAAACACGAGAAATCTTTCTGATTTACTGTATCCATAGTTCTTTTGGTTTTTACGTACCATCCATTGCAAGCTGTTGACAATATTTACAACACAGCATCACCTTTGGAAGTATTATGTACACCTCCATCCATGGCTCCAACCTCATAAAATTCAAACTGGACTAAAATGACAGTGTTTAAATAATTTTGGAGATAAAGTTTGGCTTATCTGAACTTCTGAGGAAGGGTCCCTTGACCCGAAATGTTAACTTTGATTTCTCTTCACAGATGCTGCCAGACCTGCTGAGCTTTTGCAGCAATTTCTGTTTGTTTTGACAGGGAATGATATTGTACGGAACTTGGATTTTTGTTTTATTTTGTTTTCAGCCTCCTCCTTGCTTCCTATGAAGATAAAAAAAAAATTTCTTAGGTATCAATTGGTAGAAAATACAATAAATAATGCTTCTCTAAGACCAAGCATTAAAACCTACTACGGTGTGTAGTGTGTATGCACCACCTGGATGGTAAAGTTGCATATAATTTATATACATTCTTGAAAAAACACGAATAACTTGAATATTGCTCCTGCCATGCTTGACGCCCTACCAGCCTCGTGTCAAGAGGAACACAGCCTCTCTTCTCTCACCTCAGGGTGCCCGGACCACAACCTGAAGGACTCGCGCCATCTTTGATGAATGTGGCTGTTGAGGATGTCACTGTTTTTTTTCTGCCAGGTATACAATACCCAATTCCCAGCACAGAGTTTCTTTTTAATTCATTAATGAGATGAGGGCATCGCTCACCAGGCAGCATTTATTGCCCATCCCTAATTGCGCAGAGCGCAATTCAGTCACATGCAGGCCAAACCAGGTAAAATGGCATTAATAAACCAAATGGGTTTTTCCTGACAATCGACAATGGATTCATGGTCATCATTAGATTTTCAATTCCAGATATTTTATTGAATCCAAATTCCACCAAATGCCGCGGTCAGGATTCAAATCAGACTCCTCAGACGTTATCTGGATCCTGGATTAACAGTCCAGCGATAATCACCGCCCGCCCGAGACACACACCACCCCAAAACGGTCTTCGCCCCGCCCCCACCCCACAGGCCCGCCGACTATTACAGACTCCGCCCCTGTACGTAACGCGGTCTCCGCCCCCCAAGTTTGCCCCGCCCCCCCATTCCCCCGGAATGTGGTAAACAAGCTGGTCCAGAAGATCCGCAGGCAAAGAGCGACTGAGCGAAGTCAACTTGTGCGTTCCGTAACAAAGATAATTCGCTCACTCCTGATCTGTCTGCGAACCCAATTGCGCTGTGTGTGTCTCAAAGAAAATCTTTGCTTTCAACAATTTTGCGGCAATTAGGTGTAGGGTCAATTTACAGAACTCAGAATAAAACTTCGTTCCCCATAGTTCGATTGTCAGAATAGCATCGTGCAAAATGAAAACAATTCTGCCCTACCTTTTTCTGATTTCTATCCCTGCGTTAATATCCTCTGATTACATAATAATGGAATCACACCAGCACAAGGTAATAGTTTATTACAAGTTTATCTGCTAATTTACTGTTTAAATTGTTTACGCTTCGAAATATTTGTAATAACTTTTTTAATTCGCTGGGTTTTTTAATTCGAACAAATACATGCGAGCTCTTGGTCAAATGATCAGAAACCAGCCGGAAGAACCCTGAAGGTTGTCAAGAACGAGTCCGTGCATGTAAAAAGAAATGTGCATTTAATCAGTTGCGAAATGTTATTTCAAGTAAAGTATAAAAGGATTGGCTATTGATCATATACTTAACATCTGAGACAGTTTTAACAGTTATCCTCACCCACTGTGATTTACAAGCTTCAGACGCTTTGACTGAAACGATGTTCTCACCAATTACTCCCCAATGCAAATAAGAATGATTAAACCGAGGGCAGTATAAATTAATCCTCGTTAGGTTTTAGTTGTGTAATCAATGTCTTGCATCGAATTTGATTTAACGTTGGGTACTACTTCAATTCGTTGAGAGTTATTTTGTTTTGCTTTCGATTGATCAGCTGTCAATGCATAGAGATCGATCTTTACACGAAAGAATCAATTAGTATGATGTCTTTGTACAGGTTTAGCAGTAAGTGCTTTTATTATCAGTTGTAGTAAATGAATTCGGCAAAGGATCATCAAGAAACTGGTGATTGAATGTAAGCTAGCAAGAAACGTTCTCGTGTTTGGCCAACTGTTTGATAAGGGCGTTTCATACAGCGTTTCGTTCCGTGAGACTTAATAACTTTTCTCACGCAATTCCCTGCTGCTGCCCTCATTAATTATACATCCGGTCTCCAGAGTGCAGCTCAGCACAATTCTCCGGTCAGCAGTGATATAGGGGCTCATTGGTTCTGGGACCCTCTGGCATTCAAGTTATGGTTTAAACCACTGCTAGTTAGGGACTTCCGTTAACGTGTTACTGTGCAATTTTAAACGACATGGCTGAGAAAGGGAAGTTGGCCGCCTACCTTGTCTAGAGAGGCCTTGGAGATCCTGATGGGCGCCCTACTTCCCCACGACCACCAAAGGGGACCATGGCATTGGATGCTGTCAGCCTGAACAGTAGTAGCCATCTTGGTTAGTGTGATGTCTACAGTCTAGAGGAAGGTGCAGCAATATGGCAAGAAGGTTAATGACCTTCTGCACTCCACAAGGGTAAGTGTCACCGGAACTGTCTTCTGTCTCACACCCATTTTAATCTTGCTACTGTACCCACCTCCTATCATGGCTCATGGTTTATCACTCTCACTGTTGCTTGCAGCATCTTCCCTCAGTGGCTCTGACCCATTCTATTTCTCCCAAACTACTATCCCTACCTTGTCCTTTGCACTCACAGACACCTCAGCACCTTTTCTGTACCTGTATCACAACTAAGAACTCCGTCAGTCACTTTTATCTCACTCAGTCCTTTGCCTCATTGCAGGAGAAAAAGCCCATAATAGGGCTGAAAAGGCTAAGACATTTGTCTCCTCATCCTGCACAAAGGGAAAATCCTTGAGCTTATGGGAGAGGGCCATTACCAAAACACTGAGACCCCTATGGCCTGGCAACCGAGTAAGCTGCATTGTGCTATGCTGTGGCGCTTTTCTGTTACCACCCTCTATGAACATAATCTAAAGATGCTCAAGACCACTGTTTTTGCCAACTCTTTCCCTCTTGTCTTATACAGATACCTGCGGCATCGGGACACCCTCTGCCACTATGAAAATGGCCCCTGTGAATATCAGCTCCTCCTCCGGCTCTGAGGAAGAAGACACAGACCCCTCAAAGGATACACCAGCAGGACTGTTTCCTGCAGCCTCCACCAACTCTGATTATTTCACCTCATTGGGTAGTTTATTTGGAGTACACTTGGGAGCACATTCTGATGAGCACATTGCTGCCAGAGACCAAACACCCACTCAACCTCGGGCAGTGTAGCGTCACATGTCAGCCATTAATAACTTCATGCAAACACAAAAACAGATACAAAAGCAGCAGGTAGATTTGTTTGAGATGCTTGGTAAACCAAATCAAAGGTTGAAGGAGTCCACCAACTTATCAATTCTATGTTAGCTCCAGCGCTCATATGTCTGTCTTCATCGACAGTACTAGACATTCATTCCAGAAGTCATTGCCTCACAATCCTAATAGAATTTTGGGTCAACCCACAGCAGGAGGACTGCAGCGGTTCAAGAAGGCAGCTCACCACCACCTTCTCAAGGGCAACTAGGGATGGGCAAGAAATGCTGGCCAGCCAGCAATGCTCACATCCCACAAAAAAAATGAATAGAAAAAAAAACAGACTCAGAGATGAGCACAAAAGAGAAAAAAATCGGAGGGTATGCAGGCCAGAAATGCCCAGCCCCTCATCTTCCACCCTACCTATGATCTTCAACTCTGTGTAAGTTGAAATCAAGGAGGGTAAAAGTACATCTCAGCCGGACACTCTCTGCATATCTGGTCTCTTCAACTGTACATACCCTCAGGGTCATCCACCCAAATCTTCAAGGCCAACAATTTTCGCTACAGAGCAGGCAATCTCCACACGTCAGCTCCGCCTGTTCATTTTTCTTTTTTTTTCTGCCTGTTTTCCTCCCTTCTCTAGGCCTCAGACATCCGGCCCCAGCCTCCGACTCTCAGCCTTCAAAGCAGGGACACCAGCATCCAGAGGTTGGAGCAGGGACGCTGGTGACCAGAGGCTGGAGCAGCGTGGCTAGCGCACGCTGTGGAATGTGACGACAGCCAGCTGTCAGATTACGTGGCGGCCCACTGCGCTGGTTTGCTGAGAGACACCGTGATATTTGTCTTTTTAACTTTGCTTCTTTTTTTTTTGACCTATGGTTATACGGTGCATAGCTGTAATGTAACTCTTTTTTTTTCTTCATTTCTCTATTCTGTAACTAAGGATTGTACCTAGGTACTCTCACCCTAAGATGGCACCATGTGTTGGTGACATTGTTATACTCTAACTAATCTTACAACTGAAGAAGCCGTATGTAGGTACCTTTGAACCTAAGTTGGCGCTGTTAAGTGCCGACATATGAACCTTTCACTGTATTCATGTGAGTACACATGACAATAAAGCTAATTCATTCATTCTTTAGCCTAATGATGACCATGTAACCAATGTTCAAAAACAAAGTTGCTGGAAAAGCCCAGAGGGTCTGGCAGCATCTGCGAAGGAAAAAACAGTTAATGTTTCAGGTCAGTGACCCTTCCTCAGAACTCAGTTTCATGTCACCAGACCCGAAACATTAACTCTGTTTTTTCCTTCACAGATGCTGCCAGACCTGCTGGGCTTTACCAGCAACTTTGTTTTTGTTCCTGATTTACAGCATCTGCAGTTCTTCCGGTTTTAACCAATGTTGATGCTTATAAAATCCATTTGGATTGCTAATGTCTTTAAGGAAGGAAATCTGTGATCCCTTAATCTCTGAGGGTCTTAAGTCTTTGGAATTTTCTTCCTGAAAGAGCGGCGAAAGGAAAGTCCTCGAATATTTTTAAAACAAAGGTGGATGGATTTATTTTTATGCAAGAGATTGAAAGGTTATTTGGAGTAGGCAGGAATACAGATTGGAGGTGACAATCTGATTAATCATGATCTTATTAAATCGTGGAGCAGCCTCAAATGTCTGATTGGCCTACTCTTGCTCCTTATTTGTATTGCTGTGCTTATTTTATATATAAATTTTACTGGCAGTATTTCATGTTGTTTAACAGAGAGGGTGAAATCAAGGAAATGTGTGTTTCTAACCCAAATATGTAGACAATTCAAGCAACTAACTGGAACTCTTTTGTGTGTTTAAATAAATGGGATTGTTTTCTTGTCCTGGATAAATGCACATTGAAGCCTAATGAGAAAGATATCTTTTACGACTGAAAGGTAATTTCGGTGAATTAAGCACTGAAGTTCAATCTACGTAGCCATTTCAGGATTCACTAGAAAAGATAGATTTTCTGCAGGTTACAAAGTTAGTTGTTTGTTCACTCATTACTGTAAAGTCAGTTTGCAGCATCTGCGAACCCAAAAGAAAACCGGCGTGAGACTTTACAATGTAAAGTTCCTCCAATTCTTTAGAAACAGATGTTATAACTTTTATATTGCTACTGCAGTCTTACTGCAGACAGTGCTTAAAGATCAAAAGCAGACAGACATTGTTGCCGTACCATGTGACTTCTCACAATACCTTTTCTAAATTTGGCCATTGTCTTAGTTGATTAGCCACATCCTCATTTATTGTTTCAAGACATTAACCCTGAGACAATTAAGATAATTATCATCTTTGCTTCAAAAGAAAGCACATTCAATTTGGGATTGTTGTTTGATGGACTGGATATAAATGTTTCTTCACCTGGGCTGAGTTCTTTCTCCTGAGTCAGTTTTTGAAGCACATTGACATTTCCTTCGAAAAGTGGACAATTTCAAATAGTGCACATTAAAATAAACTTTATATATCTTAAAAGTTAGCATTTGACATGCCATTAGTGAACACGATAACTCAAATCACAAAGAGGTGGACAGATTGAAGCCTGGTGTGGAGGCTAGTCTTTTATAAAAAAATCCAGGATCCCTACTTATTGTAATTTGTATTGAACTGTTCCAAACCAAAAAATGTGAAATATATTTTTGACTGTGGTGGTGTAGAAGCCTGTTATCCTTGATGTACTGCTAATTAATAAATTTATAGAACTGAATGTAAGACTATGATATCTATTTTCACTTCTTATCTGACATCAATCAAGTTACATTTTCAAATTAGTTTCTTTACTAACAAAGTGCAAGAACTGTGAATAAAATTTTGCAAAACCCTGAGCATTTTTATCAAGCTAGGTTGTGCATTGAATATTGTACTTTACAAAAAAGAGAGGAACACTTTTGTACGCTTAATCTTATGTATTTTTATATGTATCAAACATTAATTTTATGGAATATAACTTAATTTTTTATGCTGCATTTTCTTGTATGTATAACAAATGCATTTTATTACATGTACTGGTCCTTTTTCTTGGCTGAGAACAGAAAAGGAGCATTGAGGAACATGCCAAAAACGTAGGTTCGATTTCTGTTGTATTATTTATTTCAATCTGTGTTTATTTCAATATGCTAGGTGAATTTTATCAGTCATATTAATTTTTCTTCTTTTTTTAATCATTTATAGAGGCTGTGATTTTGTAAAGCATGTTTCTGTGTTTAACATTTGCACAAAGTGATCATTTAAAGTAAAAAATAGATGCTTTATCAAGTTGCATGAGAACAATACATAGCACAGATTTACTTTGAGTTTGATCTCTTTAGATATTTTAGTTGCTTGCATCAGTAATTTCTCATTAAAATGTCACTCCTTAATTTCCTTCAGCCTGAGAGGGAGCTTGAAATTTATGGTATGAAGATTGAGTCCAAAGTTACTTCTCGATTTGCTCACAACGTGGTAATCAGCCGAGTGGTAAATCGAGCCAATGAGTCAAAGGAAGCTTTCTTTGAAATGGAACTGCCTAAAACAGCATTTATTACCAATTTCAGCATGTCAGTATAAACTACATTATTCAGTTAAATTAACTAATTAGCATGAAAAACTTTATTTTTGAATGTATGTAATATATATATAATTTATATTACTTGTGTATAAATCTAAATATTTTTTAAAAACATTCAGGCATCCAACTGTTTGTTATTCTCTGTAAAGTGACTATCATTCGAACTCTGCTCTTTGTGCCTCAACTGCATCAAATCCTTTATCACCATCATTTATCACCAATATCCAAATAACTTGGCTTATTTCTGCATTAGAGAGGAATAAAGTCATCTGTAACCATGAAATATTCTATAAACAAGGGCATAAAGAATAAAAGCAAGAACATAATGATGAATGATGAAATGGTTTGGGTCTTAACTGGAGTATTGTATCCAATTCTGGGCATCACACTTCTGGAAAGATACGGCATATTCACGGAGGGTGCAAGAAAAATTAAGAAGGGTTCCATAAATTAGGGACTTCTGTAATAAGAAATAACTGAATTGCTCTTTCAGTGAGGTGGCAGAAACAAGATGGAACAAATTGCCTTTTGCTATGCTGTAAATACGCTAGGATTTTAGATTATGCTCCTTGCAAAGCTATCACTACTGTCTGACCAAATTAAAATTTAATTGTGTAGAACAATGATTTGTATTTTTACAGTGACTTCTGTGTGAAAACAGATCCCTGGACATGTAACAGAAGCATTAAAAATCAAAATAACAATGAGTGACAGACAGAAATATTCAGGCAAATGGCCAAAATCTTGGTCAAAGAAGTAAACTTTAAAAAGTGACTTCAAGGAGGAAAGTGAGGTGGAGAGTTCGAAAGAAGTGGTTGCATATATTCCAAATCTTGGTGTCTCACCAACTGAAGATGTTTGAGCAGTTTTTAATATTAAGGAGGTTCAAGTGGGCCAGAATTGAGGAGCACCGATATCTTAGTGGTTATTGGGCTGGACGAGAGTGAGAATGGCAAGGCCAGGGAGGAATTTGAATACAAATTTCAGAATTTTATATTCAAGATATTGCTTGATCAGGAGACAAATTTTCCTTTAATATTCATTCATGGGATGACTGAATTGCTGGCTATGCCAGCATTTGTTGTGCATTCCTAATTGCCCATAGGACAGTTAAAGAGTCAACCGCATTCCTGCAGGTCTTGAGTCATGTGTAGGCCAGACCAGGTAAGGATTGCAGTTTCCTTACCTAAAGGACATTAGTGAACCAGATGGGTTTTTCCAACAATTGATAATGGTTTAATGGTCATCATTAGACCTCTAATCCCAGATTTTTATTCGAATTCCATCATTCCGTGGCAGGGTTCAGACGTTGGTCCCCAAAACATTACTTGGGTGTCAGGATCAACAGTCCAGTGATTAATGCCACTAGTCTATCACCTCACTCTATATAGATCAGCAAGCACAGGGTGAGAAATAAACGGTACTTGATGCAGTTCAGACGTGGTTAGCAGAGTTTTGGATGATGGTCAATTTACAGAGAATAGAGTGTGGGAGACAGCAGTGTGTTGGAATAGTCAACTCTAGTGATAATGAAGCTATGAACAATGGTTTCAACTGTAGAGGGGCTGAGACAGCATGAAATGGGCTGATATAATGGCAGTGGAAACAGGAGATTTAAGTGATGTCAAAAGCACAAAGCCATAAGCTCCTCTCAGAGTGATATGACCCCAAAGTTGCGTGCAAACTGGTTTAATCTCAGATGTTGCCAGCGAGAGGGATGAAGCCAGTAGCTTGGTAACCACGTTTACAGCTGGTACTAAAATCAATAGCATCAGACTTTGCAAATTTTAATAGAGGAATTTTCTGCTCATTTACTACTGGATGTCAGATTAGCAGTTCAATTGTTTAGCAACAGTGGAAGATATGAGAGGACTGGTAGTGAGTCAACATACATGTGAAAATTAATTCTAGGCTTTTGGATGATATTGCAGAGGGGCAGCAAGGTGAGAAATAGGAGGGACAAAGATAGATTCCTGAAAAATGCCAGATGTAATACTTTGGGAGCAGCAAGTGAAGCCATCGCAAATGAATCTCTGGCTTTGATTAAATAGATGAGAATAGAGCTAGGTGAGAACAGTCTATACCCAGTTTATCAGTGGAGAGACATTGAAGGAGAATGATATGGTCATATCTCAAAGGCTACAGACAGGTTGAGAAGGACAAGGAGAGAGGGAAAGTGTACCTTTATCACAGTAATATTGGATGTCATTTATGACTGATGAAAGCAGTTTAGTGCTGTTGCAGGGATGGAAACCTGATCTGAGGAATTCTAACGTAGACTTCCAGGAAAACTGGGAATGGATTTAGGAGACAATGACACATTGAAGGATTTTTGGAGAGGCTGGTGATGGAATGGTTATTTGGAAGGACAGGGAGGTCAAGGGTTGTTCAATAAGATGAAGTGTGTTTACGGCAGATTTGAAAACAAGAATGTCAACACCTTGAGGGACAGTGGTAATCAGCAAAGGATATCTTAGGCCAGGAAATTGAATGGTAGCAATTGATTGGGAATAGAATTGTGGGAGATGAACTCAAAGGTCAAGAGGGGAGATAGAAAAGAAACTAGGGGAAGATGCAACTGTAGGGCTTGGGCATGTGTTAGAAGAACTGTAGGAAAGTGAACTAGTATAAGAGAGGTTTACACCAAAGACAACTGATTTGGGTGGTCTCGATTTTAGTGACAAGGAAGATAGAGAGCTTCTTGCACTTACTGTTGGAGGTGAGGGCAGAGGGGGCAGGTTAGATGGACTTAGGCAGATGTTTGCAGCAGGATAAAGATGCATTACAAGATGATCCTGGAATGGTGTGCAATACTAGTAGTCAAGAGCAGGATCTGATAGCATCTTAATTAGTCGAGCCAGATTTGGGTGATTTAGCCAGTTGTCTTTGAAGTCTGCTGGTGCAGTTAAGTACAGATATGACACTCCCAAATCTACTTACGAATAAACTGTTGAGATTTCAGTGGGCCTGTTTTAACTTTCCCAATGAACTGTATCTCTGATCTTCTGCTTTTCAGTGTGAACAGTGGAGATGAGAAAAGTAGCAATGTGAACTAGGAAGTGAATCAGTTAATAAACAGTTTTGAGAAGACTTTACCATTTTAGATTCAACCAGAGAATACCTTTGCACAGAAATTGGCAATATTATGGTTATGCAACAGATGTGATAGAAACATTAATCTTCTAACTGGCTAGCTTGTAGCTATTAGTATAATATAATTTCAATTTTTCATTTTTCATCAAGTTGTAAAATCTTACAACACTGATGGTGGTCATTCTGCTCAAGTCCACTCAGCTCTCTTTCAAAGAATCCAATTAGTGCCACTCTGCCCCATAATCCTACATGGTTATTTCCCTGAAGTACCCATTCAATATCCTTTAAAATCATCCATTTTCTTCCTGCCATCATGGTCCCTAAACAGCATGTTTCGTTTGAAGTTTGAGAATTTATTGGTTGTTCTTTTTTCTTTTAAATCTCTTTTTAGCTTTCAAAATCTATAGCTTCCCATTTAATGTGACACATACTGTAATGTTGAGTTAACTCAGTTTTGAATACTTGAGCATCTGTTCACTTGCATTATCCTTGACAAAATAATTGCAATCTTTCTTTACCTTGTACCTGCTTCCTGAGATGCTAAATGATATCAAGATTTAGTTGCTTTTGTTACATTTTATGCTTGATTAAAATTTTGGTTGAATCAGACTTGAGCATTACTCCATTCTTTTCTGGAGTTTTTGCAATTGAAGTCAATTCCTACAGCTGCAACTTGCCCTGCCACTGAAGTGATTCTTCCATGGTTGAGTTTTTTTTGTTGCTTTACTTCCCATTAAGACACCGCTGTATTCATGTGTTTTCTCTCTCTGCAGGACTTTAGATGGAGTGACATATATGGGAGCTGTGAAAGAAAAACAAGTTGCTCAGCAGCAATACCAACAAGCAGTTTCACGGGGACAATCTGCAGGGCTTGTAAAGTAAGAACAATTTCCTCATATTTAACCAATGACCTCCAATTTTCATTAGTTCGTTTTCCACACTGCTTGAGATTGTGTCCATTTCAATATTGACTGCAAAGGAGCAAGAACGGATACATGAAATTACAATTGCCAATGTTCCTTCTACTGCTCCCAAAGACTGTCACTTGTCTATTTATCATCATCTCTTGCCAAGATGGTTTTCAATCCACCTGCCTAATGTTTCATCAATTCAATGCAGTCATACCTATTTATAAAGTTTTTCAGTATGAAGGCATCTCTGCTGCTCTGAGATCCTGCAGAAAGCTAACTGAGGGGTGTGAGGCTTTGGAATTCTCTTCCTGAAAAGATGGTCAAGCAGTGTGCTTGAGTATTTTTAAGACAGAAGTGGATAGATTCTTGTTACAAAGTGGGTAAAAGGTTATCAGTGTAGCGGGGGATGTGGATTTGAGATTACAATTAGATTAACCGTGATCTTAATGAATGGTACACAAGTCACAAGAGGCCAAACAGCTTACTCCTGCTCATTATTTATATGGTCTTACATAATAGTGGATAGAGGGAAGTGACCACAATGTTATGATCTGCTTAAATAATTCATGTATCACAGCTGAGATTGATTTATATGTTGATGATATTTTCTGTGATTCATTTGAATTCTTTCAGACAACGGTGCAAACAAATTATCTAGTAGTTAATTTGATTGTTGTTTATTGGATTTTTTAGTATGGAAGTTGGCTGCTATCTTTACTTTACTGTTATGCAAAAGTAGTTCAGAGGCTGATAAATGGTTAAGGATATCCTGAGGTTGTGAAAGAGAATATATAATTGCAAATTTTTCATTTGCTGTGCCCATAATCGGACATTTGTAATGCATTCCTCATCATAATGATGTAAGCTTCACAGTACAACAAAAGATCTGAAAAAGGCAATGATAGTACCTTTACCTCAATATATCACCAAGATTCCATCATCTTCCATGTATGTAACTTGTGTCTTTCTGATTTCCAAAGAGCATCCGGAAGAAAAATGGAGAAATTCAAAGTGTCAGTAAATATTGGACCAACAAAAAAAGTCACCTTTGAACTAACCTATGAAGAATTATTAAAACGTAATCTGGGGAAATATGCAATGCAAATCAGAGTAAAACCCAAGCAATTTGTCAAACATTTCCAGGTATTTTTCTAAAGTCATAACATTACTAAAATATTTTAATTGAGACTGTTTTTGATTTTCTTATTTGATAATAATTAACGTCTCCATTGTTTTGAATTGCTTTTTCTAGATTGATGTACACATTTTTGAACCACACGGCATTGCCTTTCTGAATGTTGATGCAAAGTTTCTAACAAATAATCTGACTTCAATTGTGAAAAAGACTCTTACTGAAACAAGGGTAGGTGGCTTTGCATAAAATGAACTTTAGCTAAACAATAACTATAAAAAATTAACATTGAGTCACTGCTTTGTTCAGGGCCACGTTTTCTTTAAACCAACTCTTGAGCAACAGCGCAAATGTCCTGATTGTCATGAGACTATTCTGGATGGAGACTTCATCATTGAGTACGATGTCAATAGAGACCTGTCTGCTGGTAGTGTTCAGGTAATTTGAACATTGTATTTAAAATGGAAGTTTCACAGGACTCTTTATTCTGGTGATCATTTGATTTTATATGATGTATTTTTCAGATTATAAATGGATATTTTGTACATCATTTTGCCCCTGCTAATCTGCCCATAATGCCTAAAAATGTCATATTTGTGATTGACCACAGTGGATCTATGTCAGGGACTAAAATGAGTCAGGTAAGAAAAGCTTTTGGTCCTGAATGATTTGAATGGAAAGATAACTTTCTTCTTGCTCTTTTTTTATTTCAGCTTCCATCTCCTTCTAACTCAGAACCAAATGTCTTAGCATTGAGCTATAGCTGATCATTGAATTATAGAATCCCTACAGTGTGCTAAACTAAAAGTCATTCCTTGATTGTTCTGAATTGAAAACAAGCTAATGCCCCCTACCATGTTCTCAAGAGTGGAATATCTATTTCCTGAGGGATGAAAATGCAATTCTTCCCTCACTAAGGCCACCCTCAGTGTTTTATAGCTACAAGACAGCCTTTTTAAAGTCAGTCGGAGATAGCTACTGTGAAGAGTGTAGAGAGATTGGAGTGGAGGAGGTATGCAACATGCTTCCTGAAAAATTCAACTACCTATTTCAGAGAGACAAACAAACTGAAATTCTCACCAACTGATCAGCTACCTGCTGTCCTGCACCATCACTCTGGTTTGTTTTCTTTTCTCTCTCCTCTGTTGCCTATAACCTAATCTCTCACACTGGGCCCTGTCCTCCACTGCTCTGAGTGCTCAGGTCACTATTTCCTGTACCATTACCTTTCACTTCTGGTCTCACTCTCACTGTGCATTCTCTAAATCATGCTTCATCTGGACCATCTTCACAGCATTGCAATATGGCAAGAAAACTAATGAAGCCTGTAGTGGCATTACAGTCAGTGTAATTTGTAAAGTTGATGTGTTCACAGATGCAGATTGATGTTTTATCCCTTTCAGACAAATGAAGCCCTTCTAAAAATTTTGGATGATATGGGCACAGAAGATCATTTTGCCATTATTCCCTTTGATAGCTCTTCTGAAATATGGAAAAATGCCATTCATCAAGCAACTCCAAGCACTAGGACTGAAGCTAAAATGTTTGTGCAAAATATCAGAGCCAGAGGAGGTAATGATTACTACTTTAATCAATAAAATGAGAATTTCTTATACCTTACTTTCCAATTGTAATGTTGCCATAGTCTCAGAGGATCATAGGGCTGCTATCTCATTAGAGAGAGACCACTGAGGATCACCTCAGGCAAAGAGTAATGTTCAGAAGGTGGGATCGTCATGGTAAGCTCAGCCAATGCAAGAATTGAACCTTTACTGTTGGCATCACTTTGCATCTCAAATCTGTAAACTGGTCTAACATATCCCCATTTCTTCCAATACATGTTCATCAAATCACTAACTATTAATCCAGAAACTCAGCTCATGTTCTGGGGACCTGGGTTTGAATCCCGTTATGGCAAATGGTGGAATTTGAATTTGAATTTGAATTCAATAGAGAATTAAGACTCTAATGATGACCATGCAACCATTGTCAATTGTCAGGATAAACCCATCTGGTTCACTAACGTCCTTTAGGGAGGGAAGCTGCCATCCTTTTTCTGGTCTAACCTACATGTGACACCAGACCCACAGCAACATGGCTGAGTGTTAAATGCCCTCTGGGCAATTAGGGATAGGCAATAAATGCTGGCCTAACCAGAGATGCCATGTTCTATGTGTGAATAAAAAAAAAGACATCCTTGTATTTATTTTCCTGTTCAGACCTCTTTGTTGCCTTTATTCCATCAAGACCATGACGTCACAAGCTGACTACTCAGTGATAGATATGAAGAACACCATGAATAATTATGGTGGGCAACTTTGGCAAAATTTTGCCTAAACACCCATGAGGTGTTTAGACTGTATCTGTCATGGTTGTATAGTAAAATGTAAGATGGGAGGTCTGAGAAAATGACAATTGTAGTAGTTGTGAAATTAGGAAGTACAGAGAGAAGGAGATGGACAGAAGTATATTATACTGATTTTGGGAGCTTGAACAGAATCTGGGCAGGAGTAACATTCATGCCACACAATTGTCAGAACACGACCATCTCCAACAAGAGTGAACCTAACCATTGCTCCTTGATGTTCAATGCCATTTCCATCACTGAATCCCATAATACTAATTGGGGTTTCCATTGTCCAGAAATTGAATTGGACCAGTTACATAAATACAGTGACCACAACAGCAGATCAGAAACTAGAAATTCTGTGACAAGCCACTCACTTCCTGTCTTTAAGATGCCTGTTTACCTTCTATAAAGCACAATTCAGGAGTGAGATGGAATACTCTCCATTTGTCTGGATGAGTGCAGCTCCAACAGTACTCAAGCTTGACACCATCCAGGACAAAGCTGACCCTTGAACTGATACCTCATTCACCACCTTCAACATTTACTCCCTTCACCATTGATGCATAATGGCAGCAGTGTTTACTATATAAAAGATGCACTACAGTAATTCACCTCAACAGAACCTTCCTAAGTCCCAACCTCTGTCATCTAAAAGGACAAGGGAGCAGCTGAATGGGAATGCCACCACTTGCAAGTTCCCCTCCAAACCTCTCATTTCAAACTAAGTCACCATTCTTTCATTGTTTATGGATCAAAGTCTGTGTACTCTGTCTCTAACAGCACTGTGTATATTCCCACACTCTGGGATTGCAGCAGTTCAAGGAAGCAGCTCATCATCTCCTTTCCCAGGGCATTTAGGGATGGGCAATAAATGCCAGCCAAGCCAGAGTCACTAACATCCACAGTAATCTCTTCCCTGACAGCAGAGATATCCCTTGGAGTGATTTCTGACCCAAACAGAACCGACTTCCTTTTATCCTATCCTATCCAAAGCCTCATAACAGGGCTTGGTTGCTGTCTTGGATCTCATGCTGACTTTAGTTATGTGACTGTTGGCTTTTCCACTGGTGGGTTGATTGAGTGGATTTAAAGCTTTGAATTTAGGTGCACTTCTGACCAGTTATGTTTCCTTTTTAATAAATCTTAATAGCTAGTGATCCAATGTTGACCAATATTGGTGATAGTGATCAAATTTTGTTTAACACAACTGAGACTTGAGACATTATATTATCTGAGAAGCATTTTATGAAATAAAATTGAGTTATAATATGCCTTTTATGCTTTTGGTTGCAGTGAAAGTGTCTGGACCCCTATCCAAGCACCTGACTTTTCCCCCAGGTGTCTTTCAAAGATTTTTATATCTGCTGTCTGTATGTATTGTACTCCTTGTAATTCTTTCTGTAAGTCAAAACTACTAAATTTCACTAAACCAATTATTGACTCCTCATCTTATTTACCAGAAATGTCCCGTCATGTTTGGTCTAGTACCCCCTTCAAGTACTATTTTCTCCTTTTGTTGGAGCTATTATTGTGTAAAGGGTCATCTTTTACACTGGATTGTAGAAGGTGCCTCCAGCCAGTTTTGAACTAGGGCACAGTTCCCCCGTAGTCCTCATCACATTCCAATTCATAGTCAGTCAGAGTCCCGTGGAACATAGGAGTCTTGAGGTGCAGTGCTAGCTTGCCTATGTCTGGGCTGAAGACTCACTTGCGCAATATGTGCATCAAAATATGTCCTCAAAAATTGATCAGAAATAATTTCTAGTGGAACCTAAATGCCACTGCTTGCCTTTTTTTTTCTTATTTTTGCTGCTCTTTTAATTTATTTTTAATTAGCCATAATGTTATTCTCTTACCTTCATTCCCAAAAGTTAACCGTGCCTGCCATGCATAAATGTTTTTAAATCAGGTAAATATGCATACATGTCTGTAGGCATTCTTGAAGTTATAGGGCACTAGTACTTGAACAGATCCATTTCCAATTCAATGTTTTTCCTAAGAGGCAAATTATAAATATACTTGAGGACTCCAATTTTCCCTGTCAAATCCACTTTGCCAAACTTTGCAATTTTATCTGAATGAACTTCTCTTGTATGTTAAACAAACAGGTAGTCAATTGACACTTTAACATCTGAAATTTAGTTGGATAATTTATATGTACTGTTGGCATTGTAAAACCAAATATATTTCTACTGGACTATAAAATTTTAAAAGACCAGTTTATTTTTCTTCTTTTGCAGGAACAAATATAAATGATCCAATGTTGAAAGCTGTAAGTCTTCTAAACAAGGCTCATCAAGACAAGCTTCTGCCTGAAAGAAGTGTCTCCATGATTATTTTGTTAACGGATGGTGATCCAAATGAAGGTTAATGAAAATAAGTGCCTTCAATTTCTGACTTGTGAGCTATTGCCCATAGTACAGTTGGTGGGTGAAGCAGTCAGATCTGCCAGCCTTTAGAATAATTGAAGTTGCTAATTTCACCCTGCCTCCATAATGCAGTGGGCAATGGAAAAGGGGGGAGTAAGTGTGCTGCTTTTCCACCAACTCTAATGAGATGATGGGAAGGAAGGAGTGGTATAAAAGTGGGGCAAAGTGCAGCAACTGTACAAAGCATTAATGAGATCGCAGCTGGAGTACTGCATCAATTTTGGTCACCATGCTCAAGGAGGGATGTGGTGTATTGGAGGCGGTTTAGAGGAGGTTCATAAGATTAATACAAGAGATGAGCAGTTTGCCTAATGAAGAGAAATTGTGCAGTTTAGGCCTGTACTCCCTCATGTTTAAAAGAATGAAAGGAGATCTAATTGAGGTATATAAGATGCTAAAGGAGATTGACAAAGTCAATGTAGAAAGCATGTTTCCTCATGTGAGGCAATCTAGAATGAGAGATTATAGTTTGAGATAAGGTGTAGGCAATTTAAAACAGAAATAAAGAGGAATTATTTCTGTCAAAGGCTTGTGGATCTGGGGAATTCGCTGCTGCAGGATGTGGTGGATGCTGGGACATTGAGTAAATTTGTGGAGGAATTGAAGGATCATGGAAAGCAGTCAGGAAAGTGGTGTGGAGACTGAGATGAGATCAGCCCTGATTGTATTAAATGGCAGAGCAGGCTTGAGGAGCTCAATTTCCTACTCCTGCTCCCAGTTCTTATGTTCCTTTTGGGGGGTGCACTATGCATTTTGGTACACCAGCCTCCAATACCTTACCACCCCATCCCACATTTTGTGCCTTCCCCTTTGGCCTCCAAACCCTGGCCCTACACCAATCCCACTCCTGCAGTGTCCTCTATCCCTCTCCACTCAAACAGCCCTGACATTCCTGAATCTGAAATCCTTGTGGTTGTCTTCCTGCAAACTGAGTATAATTCCAGCAATGCCTATTGTTGACTTCTTGAAGCTGGGATGTCCAATCCCTGAGGATCAGAACTAAAGTTTGAAACTGAACTGCGACAGGTTAGACCTGAGTTTGATGGTTATCTGACCTTGCATTCTGGTGCTTCCTTTGCTGCTGATTATAAAAAAACAATTTGAAATCAGCACAATGTTTTATAACCAACACTTTCAGGTGATTAAACAAATAAGTAGAAATAAAACATCTAGCATGCCTTTTAGAGAAATGCCAAACCAGAGGAATTATCTATTTTACAAATTTGGAGAACTTAGAAGTCTCCCTAGGCCACTTCCTTTAGTAATCGGAATTAATTCCAATTGCCTTCAATCTGTTTGTGCTGTAATGGGACCCAGGAGTATCAGAGCTGCCCTTTCTGATCTAGAGTATACTTCAGTATCTGGGGAGAAATAACATACATTCATACCTTTTCATATGCACAGGATTTCTCATAGCAGTTTTACAGATAATTAATTATTTATGAAATTTAGTCACTGCCAATTTCCTCAGACACAGATTCCACAAAAGAAATTGTTTGTAGTCATAAAATCTGTTTTTTTGTGTGTTGTTGGTTGAGAGACAAAATTAGTCTGGATAACAATGAGAATTTTCCAGCTATCTGCATGTTTTCAGCATCCTATCAATATCCACTTGCCACCGGTCAGATATTTTCTAATCAGCTTGTTTAAGTATGTTATGATACACCACTGGAGCAGGTGTGCCTTGAACCCGGGCCTTGTGGCCAAGAGGTAGGGACATTATCAAGTTCACTTTCCAGCAATGCAATGCCATGGGATCTTCAACATATCTGAGGCAATTTAATATCTCATCTCAAAGGCAGCAATTCATTGACAGCCTAAATTAAGGTGCTTCAGTCTCCAGAGTGTGATTTGAAGCCACAATCCTCTAATTCAGAGGCTAGAAAGTTTCCATTGAGTAATGTGTAATACCTTGTATGTGTGTACTCCCTCTCTTTCTCCAGAGGCAAGTTGAGTTGATGCTGGGTTAAGCAAAGTTTGACTTTAGCCCTAAATTGCTTTCTACCAGGATTGGTAGCGCATACAGAATACTGAGATGAAGAGAGTGCTTTGCATTATCACAAAAGAATTCAACTGTCATAGAGAAGTTGACCTATTTCTGAAGAACATGTCAAGTAATACCTGTCTCAGTGATAAAAATATTGTACACATGACTTAGTAATTCTATAAATGGGGCCAATCTGCTAACATTACCAAAGTCCACCCATCTCCAACTTTCTGATAGAACATCCAAACAAGTCTGTGAAAAGTAGAAATACCTGCATAGTTGATTATTTTGTTTTAGGATTGGATCATGTTTGGCCTGAGAACTGAGTTCTCTAAATGATTGGCTCTAAAATAAACTATATTTGCTTATTTTTTATTATAGGTGTATCAAACCCAACAACAATCCAGCAGAATGTTAAAAGTGCCATCAATGGCAGGTACAACGTGTATTGCCTTGGGTTTGGTTTTGATGTTAAATACAGTTTTCTAGAGAAAATGGCACTGGAGAATAACGGTGTAGCTCGGAGAATTTATGAGGATTCAGATGCTCCCTTACAGCTCCAGGTAAAATGATTATTAAATGTTTACATATTTTGGCTCATTTAGTATGGCACAGGACCACCTCAGTTTCCACTTCTCCCACAATTTTACTGCAAGTGAACTGGATTACAACCACATTTCTGCTAGTTAAAATTAACCTAGATACTAATCCAACCAGGTAGGAAGAAGGAAGGTTTGCAGCGGACACATGGTTTATAGCCTGACTGATTTTGCTCGCCATTATTTTTAATGTTGCGCATGATTGGATGGGAAGGATATGCTGCCTAAAACCATTCATAACATTTCAGTACGGTAGAAGTTTCACTTAAGCTTGTATTTGTGCCCTGCTGCAATATATGGTAAGCTTCAGACAAATGTAAGATTGAGAGCATTCTATGAATAGGACAGCTATCATAGAGAAATGGAAATCTGAGGAATGATTTTATGGTAAGCATACTTCAGATAGTTATGACTTTAGTAATTATGTAGTCTTATTCTGACATATTTCTACAGGTTTGCCCTCCTGTTTCAAAGTTGAATCCAGGGTTTCTGGATTTAATTGCAGTTTTCACACTGTCAGCTGAAACTGAGTAACAAATCTTACAAGTCTTCAATATTAGGAGTAAACCTACTCAGAAGTTCATTTGAATCACAGTTTGTGTCTCAGTGGCAACAAAAACAGAAGTTGCTCGAAGCTCAGCAGGTCTGGCAGAATCTGTGAAGAAAAATTCAGAGCTAACATTTCAGGTCCAGTGACCCTTCCTGAGAACAGTTCTGAGGAAAGGTCACTAGACCCGAAACGTTAACTCTGATTTTTTCTTCACAGATGCTGCCAGACCTGCTG